AGACTAGCAACCTGACTCGTTTTGTCTAATTCAGCAGAGTACATGATCAAAAAATTAGTTTTAGCTTCTATATTAGAAGCATTTAGCTCTGAAAATTAATCAGTTCTATTTATCTTGTAACCTGTTTAGAGGCTAAGATAAGGTGATGGCTCCAGGAGGGGTGTGCGTGTACCCCAACCTCGTTCCCGGGGCCTTTTCCTTTAGTTGGGAAAAGAAAAGGCTTTGGGAACGAGGTTGCCCGCACACCGCACGCTTGCCCCTGTTTCCTGAAAAACCGCCAAAAAATTACGCCTGTTTTGCAGGCTAAAGGATCGTGTTCTTGGTAAACAGTGCTATAACCTGAAGGTAAGGGGAAAACCTCCCGCAAAGCGTGGATTGCTTACTTTACCCTATCAAAGCCTCTATTATAGATCAAAACCTTAATCTTTCTCAATATGTTTGATTGCGGCAATTCCCTTTCTAACAAAGCGTAGTGAACGGCTCAATTTTTCGGTGTTTGTTCAAGCGTGAAACGTACAACTTTGTTTAAACAAACTGTCGCGCTTCTTCATTCAAAGTCATGGGAAATCCGTACTGTCAAGCACCGACTTTAATTTGAACGCGTGTGAAGGCTTTACAAACGACATCAAACAGTATTTGACGGAAAATAAATCTTGATTAAAGGTAGTATGTATGTGCAGAAACATAAACACGGTAATATGACAGTGTGTACACAAACTTGTGTGTTTCACGCTTAAACAAATGCGTAGAACGCTGAATATTGTAAACAGAAATCATGATACCCTGTAGCATGCTTCAATTTCGAAACTTTATACTCGTTTACGTTTCCTAAAACTTTTAAAACATTTCTTGGCTGCTTTATTGTCTGATTTGTAATTTCACTGTAGCATGACAGCGACTTTTACTTCAGTTGGACTATCATTTTTCACAAAATTCTAGTTGTTTGGTAAAAAATTGTCGGCAAGTGTGCTAAAAGTTCCGGCTGTCGCCGGCACCCGGCTGTCGCCGGCACCCGGCTGTTATTTTGATCTCTTTATGTTTACGCCCGGACGTTTCAAAGACCCCTCAAATTCAATCTTTAAGTTAAATCATAGCACTAATCTGAAACATTCGATGTCCATTTCAATTTAGTAAATGTCGAAACAGCCATATAAGCTAATGATTTGATAAACTATTGCTGATAATGTGACAACGTCCTAAATGCTAAATTAAGCTTATGGTATAATATAAGTAGCTTATTTTTCCCCATCATTTTTGTTTAGTGACGTAGTGGTGATCTGGATATTCTTAAGTCTCCGCAGTTCGATTTTTGGTGGGAGACATTTTTATTTATTATTTCATTTTGTCACATACATTTTTCCCCTTTTCAGTTATAATGCTGTAAATTAACATTTTTCAGTCAAAGTCATGGTTACATGTTTCCATGGGAATTTCCTTGTCAACAGCTCGCTTTGTCAATCACAAACTCTTCGTGATTCTCGCTGCTCCTCGTTATGTTTAAGCGCATGGACGATTCGAAGACCCTTCAGATCTAGTCTTTAAGTTGATCATAGCACTAATCGGAAACATTCGAAGTCCGTTTCAATTTTGTAAATGTCGAAACAGCCGTGTATAGACAATAAGGATCGCATCGATCGATGCAATCACAATGGTGCCAGGACTTCGGACTTCTTCGGAAGGGTAAATCTCGAGTTCGGAGCCGACTAATTACGACTAATTACGAGGAGTCCGCGCAATTTGCAGATCTCAAAGTGCCCACAATAACTCGTTTCTACGCAATCGCATACCCACGAGTTAAAAACTGGTGTAACGGAATATAAACGGGCGGTAAGCCATTGATTCCCAGTTTGTTAATCACACGATTATAACTCGAATACTCTGAGAAGTTTTCGATTGCTGATCCGTGATCGTCTTGATTGCACTCTGTAATTAATTACTCGCGCAAATTTTCCCAACCATTCACAAAGTGCAAAAAAAAAAACAACCAATCAGGCACGATTTCGCCTGTCAAGTTTTTTTTTCTGTATTTGTCTTAGATTATCCTTAAATGACATTTATTTTTCTGTCCAAGACATCACAGAGTGTCTTTATTAACATAATCCCACCGAAAGACACGTAATCATTTCAAACGAATGAAGCATATGGAAACACAGATACCATTAGATTAAACGTTGATTGATTCAGTAATATGTGTTTATTTCAGATTCCTTTTCCATGAGCTGATTATTCAGTCAACCAGAGAAAATATTCATTTTTCATCCAAAGACAACTGACGGTTTTTTATAAGAGTCGCCAAACATAAGAGTTACCAGACAGGTACTGTCAAATCATATTCATACATGTATAGGTACATTTTCCTTTCGTATAATCCAGAACGTACAATTTAACATTCAACTTGTCGTAGACGTAAAGAAATGATCCTCGCAGATGAGCAGCAATTAAAGAAATTTCAATGTGTTTGCTCAGCTAGCTAGTTGTAGCGTCTAATTGGTATCGAAGCCTTGATTATTTTAAGTTTCTTTTTTTCGATTCCTTAAATTTCAGCTCACTCGCGAGGAACTTTTTTTTAACTTCTGTTGCATCCGCAGGTTAAAATACTGTGTATTTTATTCAACGTTACGTCTTCTATGCCATCACTGCTGTGTTTTTCCGAGCTTGTTACGAATTTTATTCTTAGCGCATCGGCCGCTCCACGGGTTTGAGAGAAGTAAAATAAGGATAGTTTTTTTTTTTTTTTTACCTCAAGAAGCAAAATATATCTTCAAATCAAGTATATTACAAAGAGGAGAAGAAGAGTTCTCGGTTGTGAATAAAACCTCATTTCCATCGACAATGGCAATGACAACAGACTTTCAAAATCTCTGAGTACCAACAGCGCCACTTCAATTTTGTCGTCCAACCTGTGTTGTACATGAAAATATTTTTTTTTTTGGTTTGATTAAGGTTATGTTTAATTTTCAAGAAGTTCTCACTCAAATGAGAACGCAATCGTTAATAATTGATTCCATATTAATAATTTTCACTGATTACTCACAAATTGTCCTCAAGAACCACGATCCCAACCGCTTCAGATTATTTGAAAGCCAGAAACCAAAGCGGTAAATGATATCGCGACCGCTATCAATGGAGCGAGAAATTAAAAAATAATTCCCCAGCATGACGCATAGTTTACAGAAACTGTCATTGGTCATAAAGATATGTTCTCCTACCTCACCCTCCCCTCTCCGGCAAATACCTATTCAGATATGAATTTGACCATTTCACTCCCTAGATCTTATCAGTAATACTGTCCACTATCTGCGATACAAATCTTATTATCTTAGTTGGGAGAGTTTGGTGCTGGATCAACTTATAATCCCCTTTTTGATATTTTTCTTTATTCTCGTCACTTGTCTGCTTGAAACTGTATTGATATTTTAAAGAGAAGTTATGTCTTTCTTGGTCACTCATGGGAATGCGTACTTCGCATTTTAATGCGAAGTACGCATTAAAACAATACCCGCGGTCAATCCAGGACAAGAGTACTTTTTCCGCCGCGACTCAGGAAATATCTTGTCTTAACTCTGAGTTGTCAAGCGCCATCTGTGATATTTGCCCTTGCTCCACTAAGGCCGTTGGATCTAATATGGTTTAAGTTTTATTAAACTTTCGTTATTTAACATAATTTCCAGCACGGTTTTCAGGGGTACGGAATCATCGCCAACAGAGTGTAATGGGGAGACAAAAGAGAAAACTAACTGCTGATACTATGAGGGGAGGGGGGAGTGGTCATAAGAACATTGCCCTTGAGAGGATCAGCTGAAATTTATCGTGACATGACCAGAATCCTCCGACCCTCCCATCCCCCCCCCCACCCTAGATGATAATGAATGGGGGGGGATCGAGAAATCTCAGTAAGAGGCCGGGTTGTCAGGCAAGATTGAAAATGAAGCCGTTTGACGTCGAATTTTCTACACATTTGAAGAAATGGAATCTCAAAACCCGATTAGAGTCAGGATTAATGGTCTACATATCTTATCTGTAAAAAATCATGCGGTTTGTGGAGAGTAATTTCCATTAAGTCTGGCTGTCTGTGGCTAAATGGTGTACTGGTGAGGTCTATATTTCCCAACATTCTCTCTGTCGTTTTGAAGTTTGGAGACGAGGCTATATAATTATGAAACAATAACATACGATAAGTGTTGTACCTGAAGGGGATGTTCGTATCAATCCTTGCAACCCTCCTTGGAAGAAAAGAAACTTTCTTTAAAGGGCTGCGATATGGCAACTAAAAAGTGAATTAGGATCGGAAGGAAATGATATATCTTCAGAGGCAAGTAAATGTCTTAATGGTGTTTATTTTGCGGCATTTACGAGTAATGTATCGAAAAAATAATTGTGAAGAATATAACTGGCCAAATGAGTTCAAATGTCGACGCTCCATTGTTGAAAGAAGCGTTCTGGTTTGGGAAGAGATGCAAAGTTTTCGCATAATTTGGCTTCGTTTTAGTGACTCAGAGACAAGTTTCTATTCTAGCGGCAGTAGTTAAACGACGTTAATAGCGCGCAATTTATCAGCGCGAAGCATGCTGATCTTAAAAATCAAGGAGTTTTTACCAATATGAATAACAAAACGAATTGGACATTAATGTTCGTTAACACCCTGTCGTTATAGACTATGTTTACATCAGCTGGAAGCAAGAAAGCATTCTCTTTTCAAATCAAAATAAAGATGTTTCTTTGTTCTGTTAAAACGTCGAATTACACTATCCATTCAGTGTAAGTGATTGTGTTTTAAAGAGTCACCGGAATGGTTGCAATTAAAAGAAAAAATGGAAAAAGAAAGAATAAAGTGCGTGATCGCCGTCGAAGACACCTGATCTTCACGAGAAGAATATATTAATAGACTCTTAAACAGAAATTGGAGTTTCTTCGAAACTAAACGTTTCCGATGAGGAATTAAAATGATTAAAATCCTATTCAAAGTCAGATTACAAATAAGAAGCGAAATGTTTTGCAGACTCCACCACAAACAAAGCAGACTAAAAAGGGAAACGAAAAGAAAAATATTTTTACGCCAAGGTAAGATTCATTATCTGTAACTCTAAACTTTATCAACCATTATTGGGTTTTGTAACCGATGTGTTTTCTTTCTGTCGGCTCTGTTAACTTAAAAAAACTTCACTTAATGGAACATCTCCACTAATTAAGCCAATCCATTTATCAAACAGACTTTATCATCAAAGACGCGTCGATTGACCACTGAGTAAGTAAAAAGCTTGCTCTTTTTTGAGGGTTGCAGCCTTACGATTAATGCATTTGATAAATTCCACGAAGCCCTTTTATTTTTTATTACCTAGAATATTGTTAATCCCTGTGTTCATTAGTCTAGAGAGTTCGATTACGGAAAATGCTGATGGTGTAAACTAAAAGATAAATAAAATTAAGTAAATACGGTGATAAAGGCGCTTAAACCACGAATAACGAGATAGGGAAAGCTCGAAAAAAAAAAACATTCTACAGCTAAGGTGAAGCACTTCGTTTTGTTTTTCATTCAGTGCAGCTTGGCGCAGTAAACACATCATGTTGTGTTGAGCTAACCATTCAAAAGTTCAAAGATACAAAATACGATCTAAGATCTTGTTTTCCAACGTTTGGACAGTTGACGTCAAGGTCTACAATGATAATTTGAACCACATGCTGATCTTTGTCAAATACCATAAATTTTTCATGAGGCGAGCAGAAGTTTTGGCTTCTCCGCCGGTGTGTTTGCTCTGTTTTTGTATTCGCCACATAAGATGCGCCATCAATACTCAAGTTAGCTCCACAGAGGTAGGGGATGGTATTTGGAGGGGGAACCCAGTCTTCAATTTTCTGGTTGAAGTGAAATGTGTAACAAAATTGTATGTGTCAGGAAATAAATTGTTCCAATAAAATGACCCTAAGTGCATGGAGATATACCGAGGTCAATTAAAAACTGGCTCCATTTGTCTGTCATAACATAAATTTAAAATTTCTCGTGATCTTCGCAAAGAACTGTAATGGCTGCAACAGGGGACTATTACGCAAGGACAAGGAGGGCCTGGAACCCTGTGGCTCGATTTAAAGTTTAATTACTCCAAACATCTGTACAGAGTTTAGCAGCAAAGGCGTACGATAAGACACTAATCCAAAGTTAGACCTTTGACGTAGAGAATTCTTTGTACATGCACAGCAAAAGGTAAGAGTTTCCCTAGCTTATAACATCGATTTGTTCAGTTAATTTTGATTTGATTAGTAGTGGAAGCCATTAATCGTAAGATTTGGGAAAATGCGCGTTATCATCAAAAGATAAATTTTAAACAGACGAAGCTATTAGCAAAACTAATCAAAATGACGGGAGTCTTCCTCAAGATTGGGTGCAGTAATTGCATAATAACTTAGACAGGCGAAAAAAAAAACTACTCTGGGGCTAACTATTTTGGTAAAGTGTGGCCCTTTACAACTCTGAAAATGAAACTCCGCAGCATTTGTGTTCAGATACCGTGGGCGGATTTCGAAGACCAGTCCAGAACATGCGTGAGCACTGTGGCGTAACTGCCAAAAGAGGGGTAAGATTTTCAACCATGAATTGCAAAGCTATATCTACCTAAGTATTAGAACATTCTCGTTTTAATGGCACGTGGCAGTCAGTACCAAGAGAGACTGATTGACTCTCAGTTTCGAAGTAGTAATAACCATTCAGGAGGTTTAAGGAATGTGTAGTGCAAAGACATATCTTTATCTCATTCAACTCCTCGCCGAATTTATCTCAAAATCTTCATATTGTCTTTACTTGAAATCAAAATAAGAGTAATTTCGGTTGAGGATGGGAACACGTGATTATTCAGATGACACAAATCAGTTATTATCAGCTATTTTTGCATTGAACCATAGGAGTGAATACATAATAGTCCGGCTTAGAAAAAACTACAGGTCAATTATAGTTTTCCTTTCGTTTGTTCAGACAGAGATAATCAGGCCCGTAACCAGGGGGGTGCACAGGGTGCGTTCGCACCCCCCCCCCCACAGGCCCCAAAGATCCGAATTTTGATACTAAATATCCAAGTTAAGGAGTGCAGTCGGTTAAACGGAAGTTTAAAACTTAACAGTGATACTTAAACAAAATCAAAGAATGGAAAAAGCAGTAATTTATTCACTGGGAAACTAAAACCAGCTGCACTCTAGTAGCCTGAGCCATTCAGAACATTTCAATGAGCGCACTAACGTCAGAGCTTATCTAAATGAATAATGAAATTAACGTGCGCACGATTTGCACGGGAGTTAAGACGGGCGAGCCAATGACAAGGGAGCGATCTCGCAATTTTTGTCAGACACGTCTGCTAACGCGTCGGGTAGTATTCTCTATTTGTACGAGCGCATGAACGCCCGAAGATGCAAAATCAGTTTTTTGTGTCATACGTTATGGGTAGGAGAGAACAGGAAAATAGAAAGAGGAAGGCTGCAGCTAAATCTTGCCAGTCTCTCGATACATGGGTCAGTAAAGTACCCCGTCAAGAG